GAGCCATTCCTTGCTCCTCTGATGAGGAAAGAGGGAGGGAAGGAGGGAAAGAAGAAGGAGGAGAAGTGAGGGTCCCTCTTTAAGGGACAAATAGTTGCTCTAGTAGGGAAACAAAGGCAAAACGAGTAAACAAAGCGCAACACGACAGCTAAGCAAACAAGGCCGTTGCATGTGTAAATAATAAATCGGCTGACAAGAGTTTGGCTGAGATTTGACATCACTGGAATACAAACCATTCCGTGTCAAGTTGTGAATTAATGGTTCTGGGTACACCGCATGGCAACGTTGCGCCATGGAGCCAAAGCACAACAGATTGCAAGAGTGTGCATTGCATGCATGCATGGTGCTAATCCCTGGGCAAAGCATAGGCCATATCCCCACAACAAAACTTTATTTGTATTCCGCTCTAGCTCCCTGAGGGGATTCAGGGTGGATTCCAGCATAACAATGGCAAACATTCAATGCCTACAAAAAAAAAACCCATAATATTAACATAAAATCCCAGGAAACTCCTCAACATATAAAAGTAACACCAAAGCCTAACGTCAAATTAAGGCATAACATCAGTAAATTAAACCTGACATCAATAAATTAAACTACAAGTAATCAAAATTCTATAATAACATAAATCTAAAGAAAACATCCACAAAATAGCAATAATCCAAAAATGGCAAAGTACACAAAGTTCAGAGAACCACAATCCACAGGAGTCATTCAGACAAAAATCCATGAGCAGGAAAACAGGAACTTTTCCCGAAACAAACCCTTCAGGAAACAGAGGCACAAACCAGAAGAGGAAACTTGAACCATGAACTTGAGAGCCGAGATAGGAAAGCCACCCACATGGCAATGCTGTCTCCTTGATTTAAGTCTGGCCAAATAGCCATGAGATCATGCCGAACGCACCTGGGCTTCAAGGTCTTCTCACGGATTCTCTCAGAACATCTAATTAGTCTATTTTTCACTCCCTCTGTTCTCAAACCTAATCTGGCTTCTTGGGAAAACTCCCCATTGGCTGAAGGCTATTTCCCAAGAGAACTGCTTTCACTTGAACGATCACAGGAATGCCAAGCATCAGCCTCAACTGCCTGCAGTTTTCTTCTAGCACTGACAGACTCATCACGTTGAAACCCATCAAACCCTTCAGACATGTCAGAAAAATCCTCTGCCGTTTGCTGGGCTGCAACACCAATGAACAAACTAATTGCAAACGACTTTGGTATTTTGAACTCAGGGCAGTTGGAGGAAGAGAAAGAAAATGGGACCTTTTAACAACAGTGGGGAAACTGGGAAGGCAGATGACTTGGTAAGATTGACCTTGACATATGGAGAGTATGGATTGCCTTCTGCGTGATCCCCCCCCACCCCCACCCTGTGGGCCAGTTTGCTGCACCAACGACGGGCCTTTTCCAACCTGCTGATGCAGAAATTCAAGAATCCCAGCCCTTGACCCCGGGTTTCCTTACCGATTTGGAGCGTCTGCATCGCAGGAACAAGAAGCGTCGACATCTTCACATTCCCTACGGAGCTGAAAGGCAAGAACACTTCTTCAACATTGTGCCCCACTGGAAGCACTATATCGGCTTCGTCTACACTATAAGGTTAACACAGTTTGACACCACTTCAACAGCCATGGCCCTT